AAGATTCAGCTGTAGTCCTACCTTTCCACACTCACGGTCAAAGTCGGCCAGCATTTGTGCCGCTTGGCTGATGTTTGGTGTGACCCAAAAAAGAAAAAAAAAATTGCCCCCCCCAAATATTTCTGTAAGTCTCTAGTGATTGTGTTACCTAATGACTTTTCTATTCTCCTATATATACATGCTCTTTTCACATCTTAGCCAGTCTTCATTATAATTATTATTTCTAATTGTAATTGCTTTATTGGGCTGGAGCGATAGCACCGTGGGTAGGGCATTTGCCTTGCACGTAGCCAATCTGGGTTTGATTCCTCCGTCCCTCTCGGAGAGCTCGGCAAGCCTACCGAGAGTATCCCGCCCGCACAGCAGAGCCTAGCAAGTTCCCTGTGGCTTATTCGATGTGCCAAAAACAGTAACAAGACTCACAATGGAGACGTTACTGGTGCCCACTCGAACAAATCGATAACAATGGGAGGACAGTGCTACAGTGCTACAGTGCTACCCAAATATTTATTAATTATAAAGGAACAACTTCAAATCTGGCAGAAAATACCTTAATCAAATGATGTTTAATCCACCAACAATAAGACATTGGTAATCTAATCAAAGATTTGACAAGCTCTTATCACTTGTTCTTCCTCAAATCCATACTTTCACTCTGCTGATGAAAAACATTAAGGAAACCAAATTGAGGGACATTCTGCAAAATACCTGAATCGAACTCATAGAAAGTGTCAAGATCAAAAAAGATAAGAAAAAGGTAGGGGAGATGCTGCAAAGGACTGGAGCACACACTCGGCATGCATGAGTCTCAGATCTGATCCCTGACACTGGTTGGCACATCTCCCTCCAAATACCATTATGTATGATCCCCCCCTCAAAAAAGAAAAGCGACAACAGGGAAGAACTGTTCTAATTAAACAGACAACTGTAAAATAAACAAGATCCTAAATTGGACAGTAAAAGAAAAAGGAGAGGAAGTGGGGGAGTTGATAAAATACACATTGTTTCCAATTTAATTAAGGTGCTTGCCCTCCTGGCTGGAGCGATAGCATAGCGGCTAGGGCATTTGCCTTGCATGCAACCAACCCAGCCGACCTGAGTTCAATTCCTCCGCCCCTCTCGGAGAGCCCGGCAAGCTCCCCGTGACGTATTCAATATGCCAAACACAGTAACAACAAGTCTCACGATGGAGATGTTACTGGACCCGCTCGAGCAAATCGATGAACAACGGGAGGACCGTGACCGTGCCCTGCATGCAGCCAACCCTTTTCAATTCTTGGCAAAACCCATGGTCCCTGAGCTGCACCAGGAGTGACCCTTGAGCACAGCTGGGTATGAGGTACATATTTATATAATTGAATGAAAGATATACAGGAAACCTACTACCTTTGTAACTCTTGTAAAAAACAAATTTCAAAACAAACATTGTATGCCTCTAAGATACTACTGATACACCAATATTACTATATTTTTAAAAGTTAAAACAGGATATAAAACAGAAGAGAGAAAATTTTAAAGATCGCTTTATAGAATGTATAGAAAGACAGAAAATACTCTGAAAGTAAATACCCCAAAGCGTCAACAATGTTGTCTGGATACTAGAATTACAGATATTGTTTTTCAAATTTTGGGGATTATATATCTCTAGGCCTTTTTCAAATTTTTCTCCAGTAGATGTGGATTGCTTTTACTATCAACAAAAAGAAATTTTTTAATTTTAGGGCCAGAGATTTGCTCAATAAACTAAGTGCATGTTCTGCATGCCGGAAGTCCAGGTTTAATTCCCTGTACCACATAAACCCTGAACTCTGACAGAGGCAACCTCCAAGCACAAAGCAACAAGTATCCGGAGAACCACTGAGTGAGGCCTTAAAACAAACCTCCACCCCAATTTTTTTTTAATTATACAAGGGCCTAAAAACGTGCAAATCAGAACAAAAGGGTGGGGGAGCACATGTTTATTTTCATTATACTACAGTGCAATGTTATACCAATAAAAATTTATTTTAAAAAGAAGTATAGCTCCTGTACCAAGAAAGAAGCCAAGCTACCAAGAAAGTACCATTCCTTTACCATGAAAGAAACCAAGAGAAAGCACAGACTAAAAAGCACTAAGATAATTTTAGTTAGTAGAAATTAAAATTGAGAGGGGTCCAGAGATACATCTCAAATAATGGGGCATGTGTCTTGGCTATGTGAGTCCCAGGTACTGTGTGTGTCCCCAGCACCCTAACCCCATTCCCACAACAACAAACACAATGAGAAAAGTTAGATCATGAGAATCTAAAGCATAGGAATTCCATATACAAATAGAATTAGTGAGTCAAAGAGATTTTTCAGCATAAGTCAATGGACAGTTAATGGGGCATTAACACAGAGATTCTTAACAGGACAAAAACCTAGTTAAAAAAAAAAGAACCAACAGACAAAACTGAAAAAAAACTGGGAAAAATGGGGAAGGAAACAAGAGGAGACAGGAGTACCAGTGAGAGTCCCCCATAATAACATGCTGTGCTAGAATGTAATAAAGATAGGAATTAAGTAATCCCTATTAGATTTGGCAATAAGAAGGTCATTAGTGACCAAAGGGAGCTGCAACAGACACAAATCAGCATGGGGAGACAGAGGGGTTGACGAGGGAGGAGTTGTCAGTGAAAAAAAAAGGGGGGGGATCAGTAACAAATACACAAACACACAATTTCTACAGTTTAGACACTTTCTTTCATTTAAAATTTTCAATCTAACAGATGATTTACTATAGTCAGCTGAAGACCACATTCAGGGCTGGTTATTTCCAGCAAGATAATCTGCAAAGCCTCTTACTATAAAAATGCTTAGATTGATCCCTAGCACACTCTTAAATAGAAAAAATGATAAGAAATGTGGGGGGGGGGGGGGCAGGGGGAAGGCTAAGATGAAGCACAAAATAAAATAACATTAACAGTTTACCAATATTTATCAATAATCACCAAAAAACAAGATCTACTAAGCTCACCAATTAAAAGACCAACTGTCCAAATGGTGTTTCAAAAATTTAGCAGTTCAACAGTGTTTATCAAAAGGAAGCGAATATTCTCATCTAAAAAGACTTATATATTCATGTCTAGGGCAGCTTTAGTCATAACATTGCCCAAGCCCGGCAACAACTAAATTCAGCAAGACAGGAATGGATAAGCTCCCTGTGCTATAGTCCAACAATAAACTATTCTCCAGCTAGAAAAAAGAACAACTACTGATGTACTAGCATGGATGAATCTCAAAAATATTTACTGAGCACACCAAAAAAAAAATGCATAATGAGTGAGTCCATTTTTATGCAATTCCATAAAAAAACAGACTAATCTGTATCTCCAAAAAAGAAATTAGTTTGCCTGGAGTTGGTATGAGATGAGAGAAACTGACTGGAAACAGGGCACAAAGAAAACTCTAGAAGCAATAAAATGTTTTACATTTTATACTGCTCACGAGATGCAAAGAATCACACAGGGCGTTTGCCTTGCACGCAGCAGACCCGGGTTCGATTCTTCTGTCCCTCTCGGAGAGCCCGGCAAGCTACTGAGAGTATCCCGCCCGCACAGCAGAGCCTGGCAAACTCCCGGTGGCGTATTCAATATGCCAAAAACAGTAACAACAAATCTCACATTGGAGACATTACTGGTGCCCGCTCAAGCAAATCCATGAACGACGGGAGGACAGTGCTGCAGTGCTACAAGTCATAACGTGCAACCAAAGGTTCAATAAGGTTTCTTTCTAAAAACAGAGCCAATTCAAAAGTTGTTGATAAGCAATATTCTGAAAATGAAAGGACACCAAATGGCTGAAGATACATAAAAGAAAAAGAAAAAGCCTGTACTAGGAACCAAAAGAAATCTGTATACATTTTGTGTGGTTTGGGGGCCACGCCCGGCAGTGCTCCGGGCTACCCCTCTTGCTTGGTGCTCTGAGGTTGTTTCTAAGAGTGTTCAGAAGACCCTGTGATGCTGGACATCAGACCTGGGGCTCCACTCGTGCAAAGCATGAGTTATCTTTCTGGCCCAAATACTCTAGGAAACTTTTATTAGTATCTGCTAACACAGACTTTAGGGCAAAATCATCATTATGGATAAATAGGAGATACTAAATAATGATAAAACAAATCATCAGTAACAATAGGTTGTTACTGCCTTTTTGTCACCCTACATTTGCCTCGTAAGCCTCAACAGATTTTAAAAACCTGTTCACATAATTGGCATAAGTCTTTTGTAACAAATTTTAAACAACCTCAATTAAAAAATGTGTACAATAATAATTTCGTTCAGAGTAAATTACATAAACATAATTTTTAAAAAAAACCCTAATCCTATGTAGTTTTTCAAGATCCTTCAAGTCCTTTCCACAAATTACAAGAAGATCATATAGAAATTTATTTAATTTTTTTGCTTTTTCGGCCACACTCTGTGATACACAGGGGTTACTCCTGGCTCTGCATTCAGGAATTACTCCTGGCGGTGCATGGGGGACCATATGGAGTGCTGGGAATCGAACACGGGTCGGCCACGTGCAAGGCAAATGCTCTACCCACTGTGCTATCGCTCCAGCCCCAGAAATTTAAAAATATTTATAATTTAGTCAAAATGTATGGAATGTAGCTAAAGAAGTATGTAAGAGAAAATTTTATAATTAGACTTTAAAAAAATCTGTGGCCCCATTAAAGTTAGAAAGAGAACGGGGGGGGGGGGGGGGCAGGAATAGTAGATTACTGAACAAGTAAACAAAGATATAATGAGAAAATTCCCAAAGTTAAACTGTAGGTCCTTTAAAAGAACTAAATAATTGACAGCCCCCTGGTGAAACTAGTCAATAAAGAAAACAAACAAATACATAAATACATATTAGAGATGGAAAGGGGGCTTAATTACAGAAACAGCAATTGAGAAGCCTTTAAGTGTGAGTGCAGTGTTGGCAGCAGCTGATTACTGCCAATCAAGACATGTTTGGCCACTAGGAATGCATTTACTTACCGCCAACAGAAGACACATTTATTTGCACAAGCCAGGCTTGGGGTGGTCTCCATGCAGCGATGACTTTCAATGCCATAGAATGTATGTTTATAGCAACCTCCTCTCCCTCGGAGCATAGACTACAGAGTGAAAAACAAATGACAATTTACAGCACAGAAACAGAATACCAGGGGCATTTTTTAAAGAAGAAACAACATCCCTTATAACTCTAATTATAAATACCCCTAGTAGTGGCCTACATGATGCAGAAAATTAATACTGTAGTATTATATAGTGTCTTGTCCATGCTTTGGGATTTTCTAGAAACCAATGAAATTCACTAACTCTGAAAACTCTGCAGGGAGGATAACTGATACTTTCATTTTCAAATGCAACCAACTGCTTCATATAATATTAGTACAATCATACACAAAGCCAAGGAGTCGATGTGACCGGCTTCTAGAAAATGGGCAGCCTATTATAGGAGAGTACCTCTGCTTTGGGTGGTGGGAGACAGGCATGCGCCATGCAGCGGATTCTATACCAGGTGAATGGTCGAATGGGAGTCTGCTGAGAGGAGCAGCAGGTATAGAGAAACACTATTTTAAGAATACTAATGCGTAAGTGGAAAATCACAGTGGTTAGAATGGGTAATGTGAAGAAATACTGAAGATCATCAGGGCTGAGATCACACAATAATAACAAGCTTTTTAAATTCTCATCGGAAGGAGCTCTGTGGAAGATGGGCTTGATTTGGTAAAATGGAAAACCGCGAGAATGCTATGGAGAGATGGCCCAGGAAGGTGAAACAGAGGAGGCAGCCCAATGGAACAGATTCTGAGTGTTAAGTAATTCTGAAATTGATGAAATTAACAGCAACATTAACAGGGCGATAATATGGATAGCCCAGTCTACACATAAACATATATACACATACAAACACATATGTCAGTGTAAAATATACCTGTTCCCCCTAACATAGGGTGCAAGGGCATGCTCCTAGGAATCTACCCCACCGGATGCGTGAAGTCACGGAGACTACCAAACCCTTGTATATTACATTGCTACACATATATAACTATGATAAAATTCAATTTATACATTAGGTGTTTTATTTTTTGGGACTACATCCTGGGACGAGAACAGTGCAGTCTTCTGCCCCCGCGCCTGGGTGTTCCTTCCTGGGGCCCCTTGGAGGGGAGCGGGTTGAGCTTTCCTCCCCGCCCCGACCAGGGCTCCAGCAGCTGAAGACCTGGTCCAGGACCAGCCACCACCATGCTGAGACCACTCTCCGCACACATGAAGGTACTGGCAGAGGGACAAAGCCACGCGGGTTCTGGGGCCGAGACCTCCAAACCTACTCGGATTGGAGTCGAGCATCTTCCACCCAGATCCTCCAAATTCCAGTAGGCGGGGGTCACACCCACCACCTGGCCCCCTGGCGCCGTGTAATCCCATCAGCGGCCAAGACTCAGAGACTATAAAATCCAGATCCCGGAACCGCGCGGCCGCGAATCAGAATATTGTCCCATTCCTACTTTGGACAAACTTGCAGGCTATCGAATGTAGCCTGCCCACAGGGCAGAGTCTGGCAAACTCCCCGTGGCGTACCAAATATGCCAAATACCAGTAACAATGATGGGTCTCATTCTCCTAAAGAGCCTTGAATATAATCTCAGGGCTAGGATGAAAGAGACGTTACTGGGGCCTGCTCGAGGCAATCGACGAATAACATCCTGGGATGCTCAGGGTAACAGGCTCTGCATTCAGTAAATATCCTGCAGGTGTTGGGGGACCATATGGGATGCCGGGACCAAACCAGGACAGGCATGTGCAAGGCAAGCCCCCTCCCTGCTATGCTATCTCTCCAGCCCCAGTCTCCCTAATCTGAAAATTAATACAGGTACCCCAGCTTTCGTTGGATTACCCTTTGCAGGGTACATACATATTTTCACTTATACTACTTAACCAAACTATGTCACTGCATGAGTTTCTTATAAAAATTATACATTTAACATGTTTCCTGTAAAAATTATGTATATAAGTCTTTTTCTAATCTTTGGCAGTGCTGAGGAACAAACCCAGAGCCTCACATGTACAAAGCATGTGCACTATCACTGGAGCCACATTCCCAACTTCCTTAAATTCACTCTGGGAAACTCTAGTAGCACTGTAGCACTGTCTTCCTGTTGTTCATCAATTTGCTCGAGCGGGCACCAGTAACGTCTCCATCGTGAGACTTGTTACTGTTTTTGGCATATGGGGAGTTTGCCAGGCTCTGCCCTGCAGGCGGAATACTCTCAGTAGCTTGCCGGGCTCTCCGAGAGGGATGGAGGAATCGAACCCAGGTCGGCCGCGTGCAAGGCAAACGCCCTACCTGCTGTGCTCCTGTCCTCTCGTCTTCACCTCGGCATCTTCAACAATTCTCTCTTCAGCAACTCTCCTGTACATCTTACAACCAGCCCAGTCTGAACCTGGCATTTCTCGTCTTCCAGCCTCTCTCTGTCCTCTCTAGCCTCTCTCTTCCCTTGTCTCTGGTCTCTCCCACAAGTCTTAATCCCCCATCTCAATTTCAGTCATGTGATTTCCACTCAGATTCCTTTAGTATTCCATCGTTTTTAGACTCCAGTCTTTCCCTCAAGTCCTTCTCTTCATCTCAGTTTTTAGTCTTCCTTCTCTCGGGAAACTCTAGCATTTGTCACATTTAAATTTACATTTCAATTTCACTCTGGTCTTTATTCCAGTTATCTCCTCCCTCCCTTTGGTTTTTGTGCCTCAGCTGGCAGTGCTCAGAGCTTACTCCTGCCTTCGGGCTCAGGGCTCTCTCCTGAGGGGCAGACATGGTGTCAGCGATCACACCTGCATCAGCCAAGTGCTCTCCGAGCACCTGACCTACTGTGCTCTCTCAGGTCCTCCAGCTATTTCTATCTTGTTTCTTGTAGGTCACTTGAACATTTCTACGATTCCATTTTTATCCTGTGCTTTTCTGCGTATCTTTTCATAGTTTTTGTCATAGTTGGTCTGGATATTACAATACACATACATGTTTTAATCACAGTCATCTGACATCAACATTTAATACTTCAAGTATAGAGTGGAAATGTAATTTCCACTCAGATTCCTTTAGTATTCCATTAAATAGCATTGTTTAATTTTCACAGGGTGTTATATTTGTTTCAGTAATATATATGATGAATAAATCCATGAGGAAAATGATCATCTATTATGTGTACATTTACTTCTGCTTGTTTGTATCATTTATCATTTATATCATCCTTGTTTCCTTCATGGAACCCCAAGAATCTTTCTTCTATCACTTCATGAGATTTGAAAAAACTTTAGCAGCAGCTTAATTATAAAAAAAATTGTTACAGTTTTCATTCATCTGGTAATGTCTTTTAGTCCTCATTCTTGAAAAATAATGAAAAATACGGTGCCACTTCTAACTGTCCTACATAGTTTTAGATAATAAATCTGATGGCAGGGAACTAGAGGGATAGCACAGTGGGTAGAGCATATGTCTTGCACACGGCCGACCCAGGTTCGATTCGCAGTATCCCATATGGTCCCCTGAGCACCATCAGGAGTAATTCCTGCATGCGTGAACCAGAAGTAACTCTTGTGCATTGCCAGGTGTGACCCAAAAGCAAAACAATAATAATAATAATAATAATAATAAAATAAAAAATAAATCTGATGGCAAATTCATGTTAATATATTATCTCTAGCATATTTCAAGACTATTCTCTCCATCACTGTCCCAAAGCCCCTTCCTCCTGACTCCTTTACTCCTTCCCCCATGGTATTCTAGGAACACTATTCTATCAGCCAGATCTCAGGCTCTGTTTCCACTAGGAATTGTGTAATCCCTTAAAAGCATTATTGCTACATATAAATGTTTATTAGGTTAAATGGTTTGTTATCTAGGTTTCAGGTATAGAGCATTAGAATTCAACACCTGTGCAAACCACATCATAATCAATCACTACCAAAAATCTAGTTCCATCTGTCTCCATGTAATTTATGTCCTTTCACTTTATTACTCAAAAAGATTACCACTTTTTAGATGAGATCAGAAGCATTCAGGGAGGTATATAGCCAAACAGATTACCATTTTTTAAATTTGAATACTTGGGCACCATTTATTACATCTCTGGCTGTTACTTAAAACCACCATATCAGAAACAAAACACCTTACCTTATAGGTACTGAACAGAAACACAGCCAAAACACCCATCCCAGTCTGTTCTACAGAGAGTCTCACTAGAATCACCCTGAGAGCGACTGTTCTTCCTAAATGCTTGGACTCTTAGAACTAAGCATTTAGGAAGTATAAGGATGGGTCTTTATACTCTAATTTCATGTTTTGTTCACAGATGTAGACATTAAGACTCAGAGAAATCACAAATTACAAGCATTACAGTTAATGCCTTAAAGTAGAACCAGAATTCGGGGACAGCAGTAGGGCATTTGCCTTGCGTGCAGTCAACCTGGCCGAGCCAGGTTCGATTCTTCTGCCCCTCTCGGAGAGCCCGGCAAGCTACCGAGAGTATTCAATATGCCAAACACAGTAACAAGAAGTCTCACAATGAAGACGTTACTGGGCCCGCTCGAGCAAATTGTTGAAAAATGGGAGGACAGCTCCTTCCTTCCTTATTGTTTTTGATTAATTGAGGTCCTGTGATTTACAAAACTGCTAATGATGGTTTCCCAAGAGCACAATTCCAACACCACTCCCATTGCCAGTGTAATCACCTCCCTCCCAGAGAGACCCCGGCACCCCTCTCTTTCAACCCCCACAAAGTTTAAGTTCTAGTACCTTAAACTTTTTCACCCACCTCAAAACCTCTTTCCCTCTGCAAACTACCCATACGTTCTGTTTGTTTCTTCATACTCCATGAGTGAAATCATGTACTTTTGTCCTTCTCTGACTTCACTTATCCTAATACTGCTAAGCTGCATCCAAGCTATCAAAATGGCAAATTTAATATTTTTTTAAAGTTAGGCAATATTCCACTGTATATGTACACACACACACACACACACACACACACCTACCTTTAACCAGTATTCTCAATGGATACTTGTTCTTTCTATTTCTTGGATATTGCAAATACTCTCATGCTGGACTAAATAAATA